GGGGGGGGGGGGGGGGGGGGGGGGGGCAGAAACCCCAGAATAATACGTCATCTCTATTTCCCGTAAAGAAGCGTGCAGATTAGCTGTCCGAAAAGGAAGGAGAAAAAAAAAAGCGCCGTGCTGAAAACTTCTTGTTCATTCATAAATTATTTTGGTGTGTCAAGCTAGTTGAAATGGCGATTGGCTGCTCCTGCCTCCTGCCAACCCCTTAAGGATCCGATGTGAAATTAGTAGCAAGAAAGCATGTAATTGACCGAGTCACGTGTGCGCAGGGGGCCAGAAACGGAGCGAGAGAGACGGGGAAAAATCAAAGAGGGAAAGCACATTAGACCATGCGAGCTAAATTTGCGATCGTTCAAAATCAGGATGTTAGATTAATGCAGAAGACCACTTCGATCCACAGGGAAAGTTTTCATCTCACGAGTTTGGAGCAGAGGGCCCGTGGGGCAACATGGCCGAAGGTTAATTTTCTTTTTCTATTGTTTTACTATGAATTTTGCTCGCTCGCTCTCTCCCCCTCTCCCCCCTCTCCTCCCCCACCCGCTTTTAACCCAACTATGCATTACCCTTTTTTAGCAGCTCGCGCAAGGGGGCTTTCTCCAAACCCATTGTTACCCAGCTCAAAACTGTTCCGTACCGCCCACACCGATTCACAACTTGAAAAGCTTTCAGGGGGCTATTGTTTGAATTGTTCCTGTTTGATTAAGCACAGTTGCAGTGGTGGGATGAGAAAACGGCTGTACACCTGTCCCAAATTTAATCGAAAGTTTATTCCAAGGAGGGATGGATACACGTTAGAAAATAGTGGTTTCGGCGCTGCATGTGCAGTAACGAATTGTGCAATCTACCCAATTTTGCTTATTCTCTCTCCTCCACCCCTCCTCGGCCGGCCTCCCCCCTCGCCCCCCCGGTCCTGCGCCTTGCGAGGAGAGACTAATTGGGCTGAGAATTTCTGTTGAGAAATGGGATCGGTCTTAAACCAGCAATATTCAAGTAAAGTATCGCGTTCCGCGCTGTAATGTGGCTGAAAGATGGAGTTAAATGGAAAAATACACGTATGTACAGAAACGTGGGCTGCCTTGGGCACAGAGAGAGGGAGAGCCTCCGTGCGCAGTGTTTCCTCTCTGTAACCTCCGGTGATTTTATTTTTTTACGTATTTTGGGGAGAAGGTGTTTTATTTTAGGATTTAGGAAAATATATGCACTTTTCGTCGTTGGCTTTTTGATTTTGCTTTGTTTTCCTGTTTTTTTCCCCTGTTCCGTTTGTAGTAACTCCTTTATACAGCGGCAAAAGGATGTTACCAGAATTTAACTCTTTGCTTTGCATCTTGTCCCATTCTTCCTTCTTTCCCCCCCCTTCCCCCTCACCCCTTACACACACCCCCCTCCGCCTTTCCCTCTTCCTCAGCAGGGGCGAGTAAAGGTGGAGACGAGCCCGGAAAGTTGCCGGAGCAGGAAGAAGAGGAGGAATCCCAGGTTTTGCACGGAACCGGCCATTGCAAATGGTTCAATGTGAGAATGGGATTCGGGTTCATCTCCATGAGCAACCGAGAGGGAAGCCCCTTGGAGTCTCCAGTTGATGTCTTTGTACACCAAGTAAGACCCATTTTTGTCTTCCATCTCAGCCTGCCACATTTCGTTGAGTTCAGTGGGACTCTGGTTTCATGTGAAGTAACCTATTTTTTTCTAGGTATTTAGGAACATCTGTAATTAAAAAGTTGCCTTAGGTAGTGGTTTTGTTGGCAGCGTTACAATTTGAGTAAATAAGGTCGTTAGATTGTGCTTAGTCTCTGTGGCTGGAGATTTGTGTAAAGAGATAATGTTTCCTCGTATCTTTCTCCTTGGTTAGAAACGTCTCCTGTGGTTTTTATTTATTTTCAAATGTCACACTTTTTAAGGTTTATCATTTGTCACCAGACTGATCAGAAGCAGATAAGCCTTTCCTTGAAACTGTTTAAAATTAAGCTGGGAAAAGGATAAATAAATGTCGGGATTCATTCAAATAACATATGAGTAGTTTTAAATGTTTTACTTGTAAACCTCGAATTACTTTTTAAAAGCTCATCTGAGATTGGTTAGTGAAATTAAGACATAATTATAGCGTTATTTTGTAGTAATTCAGACCTGAGAGCGTCCCTGTGGTGATACTCTGAAGCATGTATGTGGTTTGGTTGGTTGATTTTTAATTATTCCTTTCTGGGGAAAAAAAAAAAAAATAGCGATTAAGGATTCAGACCAAAAGCAGCGTCTCTGTAAGGCTGAAGAGGAAAGAAGGGGTGGTCCTTGGTTTTATTTTTAAGCTCAACAGCATGGATGGTTTTATGTTTAGAACTTGGAAACTGGTATGAATGTCTTCACACAAAGGAGTTTCAAATGCAAAATAGGTACAAAATGATAAAGGAACTTTTCCTGAGGTCTGTACCATGGCTCGTGAAGAAGGAGCATGTGTAGACCTTGCATGGTCCTTCTGTAAGTACAGTTGGAACAATGTTATTTTGAATTTCACCCGTCTTCTCTGTAATCAGAGAACAGAAGAGAGGTATCAGGTAAAGAGACCATTTTGGGTTTGGCTAGGGCCATGTTAGGGAGGCAAAAATGCATCTTTTTACGTGGTTGTCCATTTTCTATGACGTTTGCAATGACGGGGCAGGGCGGTGTTCAATGATTCTGTAGTGATTCCCTTTTAATGTTGCATTTAGTGGCCCAGCTTTATTTTGTGGTAACTTTCCACCAGGGTTTTTTAAAGCATATACCTTTGATTATGTTAGTAAAAGGGTGGCTGAATCTTCTAAAGAAACTATTGGTGGGGCATGTTTCTTTGTGGTGGGTGGTGGGGTGAACTGATCTTGCCTTACATGTGCCCTGCACCTAAGGGCCTGCACTTCTATATAGCTGCTTGCATTTGGAATTATGTACAAAGTGTAGAAACCAATAGTGAACTTACTGAATTCCTATACTTCCTGCTTTGTACTGGCATATGAGGTGCCCCCTGTTTGCTGCTGCTTTTTCTCTTTAGAACCGAATGCATGAAGTACTTCTCAAAGAAAGAGCGGTCTTTTTCCTTTCCCCCCTTTCTTCCCTTGTTTGTATCTTTTTAAGTTGTGAAATTGCTCTTTAGAGTTTTATAAATTTACTTTAAAGATAACCTCTCGTTTTCTTAATGTAATTTTATGTTAATGTATGTAATTTTTTTGGTTCTCAAATAGTAGAAAAACATTTGAAGCATAGTAGTGTTGATAATAAAAAACACATTTGGAAACAAAGATATTCTTAGAGCTGTGAAAATAGAGAAGTGTTGAACTGCATGATAACCTGATACATTTAAGTAATACTAGACAAGGTGTGCGGTTTCATAATGGAAAATAGTCGTAGAAAATAATAAAGTAGTAGTAAATTTGGAAGTTGCTATTCAGTTGTGTCTCCTAAAGGAGGGGACAAGAAGGAAATGTGAGACAAGTTTGTTTATTACAGTTTAATAATCTACAATTTATCCAAACCCCTGGTTTTCTAAGACATATCACAGTGTAAAATGCAGTGAAAACTATCATGTTTCATTGCACATAAATTGTGTGCTTCAGTCATTTTGAGTTTACTTACAGATATGTCTCACTGAGTGAAGTTATTAGTATTCTGCAGTGGATTGCCCTAACAACAAAGAAAATACATTTCTCACCTTTTTCTTTCTGATTAAATCTAATATATATATATATATATATATGTATATATATATATATATATATATAAACTTAATGGTGACATGAATCTTCTTTCTATCAGTCAAAAGCAGAAGTTTTCTGTTTAATGTAATGGGAAGAAGTGCCATCTATTGTGTTTCAAAGTGCATTTTAGATAAGTGATATTGCTATATAGAATGCTTTGTGTTAGCTGACTAATGGTAACAGTAGCAGCCTGAGCATAAAAATGTCTTTAAATCTGTAATGTTATTTAACAGTGCTGGTTGTACAAGACAGTCTGTTGCCTGAACAGTGATTGGACCCTGTTCCTACTAGTTTCATTTTTTTGAAAAATTTAGTCGTGTGAAAGGTCCTTTTCAAGGCAAAGATGTTAGTTTATTAATCTGTTGAAACAAAATATTGCTGTTCAAAACTGCTTTGAAAACACTTCATCATTTATTTGTGTGCATCGAGTGTTGCATGCATTCACTCATCCTGCAGTGTTTGTAGCTACTAGTATCATTTTATAGAATCAAGCTGTCTAAGCAGGGGAAAGAAGCTTCTAGTTTACTTAGTCGAAGTCCTGTCAAAGCTAGCTTGAGCCCTGCTGCAGTATTTTTACTTTCTTATCTTACCTTTTCTTGGTGAGGTTATGCCCAGTTTATGAGATCTTGCTATGAGCAAAAACTTACTGTATTTTAAGTAAAAATTCCTGTAATAGTTTAAGCTCACTATACCTAGACTTTTGAGCTTATAAAAAATAATTTTGCTCTCTTCTTGTAGTTTCTTCTTGGTTGTGAGCAGATTATAGTCATGTTTTTCTGAAGTCAGTGCTTTGCTAGTTGTATATATATACATTTAGAGAACAGTGCTTTTGTTCAGATTTCTCTCCCCTTTCACTCAGCAAAAGTACTGTTTGTGAAACAGCTGCAGTATTGAGTTTTTAACTCTGCCTTTTAAGTCCCTCCTATAGCGTTAATCATTTGGATTGATCTTTTCTGAACTACCTTCAGATTGTTGTTACCCTTCTGGTAATGAGGTACCTAGAGCTAGATATGTTATTTAAGGTAGAAACACGTCAGCCATTATATATGTGCATCTGTGTGTCTACAGTGTAATTGCATACACTTACAAACGTCTACATTCTTGTCCTTTTTAGCTTTATTCTGATACAGCTTATATCTTTAAGTCGTGTTTGAGTCATTCAGGGTCATATAAAAATTACAAGTCCTAAAAAAATTTAATTTTTCAAACACAAGCCATGACCAATGCAGCAATGTGCCTAGTCCATTGTTCCTGTCTTTTTATTTTTCTGTCTTTCTCTGTCATTTTCTGGTCCTCTGTTTCTTTTGCAAAAAAAAAATAAAAATAGAAGAGTAGCAATTTTTGTCCTTTGTAACACTGTTAAATCCAAGGAATGTGCACCTTACTGAATTTGGCTCAGTATTGTCATTTGTACTCTTAGTAGCTTACCATGGAATGAATAATACAGCTTGCTTCTCTCTTTGATGTGAATTCTGGACATAGTTATTTGTGAGTGGGTCTTGTTAAATTTTACAAAAAAATCTATTTCTCAAAGGGTAAAACAGACTGGAAAGGTGAAGTGAGTGAAACATTTTGTGGTGCACGTGAAAAGAGGTCTTCAATGCAAAGAACTAAGAAGAGCTGAAGCTCTTATAAAATCAGAAAAGGATGATGTTTGTTATAATTTTTTTGCATTTTCAAAATTGTATACACAACTTGGATACGTACAACTTCTTTGGATGCTGGCAGTAAGGCAAAAATGCTTTGTATTCTTTTTTGCACACACTTTTTACAGACTAAGTTAGAAACATGTCCCTTTTCCTTTGCTTAGCGTGAAGCCCAGATGTTAAAGATGATAATGAAGGGTAGGGTGCTGAGTGTAAACAGATACAATTAAATACATGTATGTGAATATCAATGGTTGTAAATTTCTCTTTCTCAATAATGTGGTCTTTCAGGATGGGATGGATTGTTCAGTTTAGATGATGTTTGTTGGGACCTGGCTCTGTAGTTCAAAATTCTTACCACATTAAGGGATTTCTGAACTGGAACCTTAAGCACAATCCTTCTTTGGGATCCTCTTTTATGAGATGGGGAGAGGAAGGAAGGGAGGAGCAGCATTTAGGAGCTGGTGTATTTTGTTTTCTCATTAAAAGGAACATAGTTGGCTTGAAATTTTTCACTTTCATCTGAACTTTCTTACTGTTGCTACAAGTTACTGTTACTATGAGATTTGATAAAAATGGAAGTCTTTCTTCTTTCATTGAGTTCTTCTGCACTGTACTATCATTGTATATTATAAATTTTGCTCCTATTATTTCAGGCACCTTCAACAAAAGAAAGGAAAAAGTAGTGAGACTAGTATGGCTGTAAACAGAAGAATAAATGGAAAATGAGACATATAAGCAGCATCTGAAAAGTCTTTTCCCTTGCTTGACCAACCATCCCTTTTGATGATGAATCAGATGCCTGTTCTTTGAACCCCTAGTATTTTAGGCACAGTTGAACTACTTTTTCTAGGACACAGTTGGGCATGGCATGTTACACTCAATGTTGAATTGTGAGCACATGTAATCCCATGCTTTTGCAAGGATGCATTCATACATCTAGCATACCTTGTCCATTTCTTTATTATTGGGAGCACGTAAAAAGGTATTTAATTGTTCAGGATAGCTGAAAGTTCTAGGTAAGCAGGAGGGATCAGTATTGCATTGCTCCTTATTGTTAAATGTGACATAGCAGTACCTGTTTTGGAATATAGACGTCTTTATGCAGAATATGCTATTAAAGCCTTGCCATCTTTTACTTCTGCTAGGGACCAGGCAAGCCCAGTCCTAATCAAAACAAAAGTGGCTAGCAGGATTTAGAGAGGGAAGCTGAGGAAGGAAGCGAATGGGA